GTTGGTCAGTTGCAAAATTGTCTTGTTAAAAACATTCGGATTTGCTGTGGCCTTCAACTCGACATTTAAATAAATCGACGACGTATCGTCAATTAACAATGGTTATTTCCATTCTTACGTCGATACGATATATCCAGGTGAGCTTGAAATGAAAGACACCACAGAGTCTGACACATCTGTTTTATATTTGGATATTTTACAAGAAAAAGACGTTAATGGTAATCTAACAACCAAGCTTTATGATAAACGTGATGACTTTAACTTTTCAATTGTCAACTTCCTTTACTTATGAAGCAATATACCTTCAGCACATGCATACAAGTTTATATCTCTCGGTTGATTCGATATGCAAGAACATTTTCTTCGTATGAACACTTTCGAAACCAAGATAAGTTATTGACTAACAAGTTGATGAAACAAGAATATTAGCAGTGTCGTTTAAAGTCGTCTTTTCGTAAGTTCTATGGTCGATACAATGACCTTTTCAGCAAATACAATTTATCATTGAGTAAAATGATGACTGACGTTTTTCATACTGATTGTTAGCCCATTATTTACACATTGAATTGTCGACGGATTTTCCGTTATTTTTCGATCCTGACAATGCAAGGAGCACACGGCGGGTGTGACCGGTCGGCAGGGGATGCTCACTCCTCCATAGCACCTGATCCCTTCTCTGATATTTTAGAGGTCCGTGTTTGCTCTGCTCCAAAATTGTATTGTTTAATGGACTTTTGAGCTTGAATACTGCTCGTTATCTCCATACATTTCATTTTAAAACGAGGGAGGCTACTGACATAAAAGTTGGTGTTACAGGGATTTCAACAGCCTCGCTTAAAGTCAACATTTCGTAAATTATAAGATACTTATAATGATCTCGTAAGCAAATATAACCTATTATTTGGTTGTACTTTGGTTGACGTATTTCATACCAATTGACCGCCGAAATATGGCTGAAATATTGCCGACTCGGCGTAAAACAACAATAATCAATCAATAATCATACCAATTGCTAGGCCTTTGTTATTATACAAAATTTGACTAAGGAATAGTCTTTTTTACCTGTTTAATACATAGGGCCCACGGCGGGTGTGACCGGTCGACAGGAAATGCTTACTACTCCATGGCATCTGCATGATTCTAGATCTGGAATATCCATGTCCGGGTGTCCGTGTCTTATGCTCTGTTCACAGATTTGTATTGTATTTTTTTAGATTGATCAATATAGTTATCTTCACCTTTTTCATAATTCCCCTTATCCAAGGGTCAGATCTTTTTCTTTAATGAAAAAGGTCCTTAGCCGAAGGTACTCGAACAGTGACAAATTTAATAAAAATTGGCCGAGGATTCTTGAGATATGGTCTGTATTACAAAAGTTTTACACACAAGATTTACAATTAGTCATTTTCTAGCTTCGGTTCAGGGGAGGTAAGTAGTGAATTGCAGTTGTAGTTAATAATAGACCCATGGGCAAGAATACCCACCTGAGTCACTTTGGCTCTGGTTTTGTTTTTGTTTGTTAATTGTTTAACGTCCCTCTCGAGATTTTTTCACTCATATGGAGACGCCACCACTTGCCAGTGGAGAGCTACAGATTTTGACGCTGGTGTTCTGCATCAGGTTCTTTTTATCAATATACATGTATTCCTTTGTGAAATTTTGAATGTCTTTTCTGGCCCACCCTTTTAAAAAGGCAGTAATTTGAACAGGAGGCCGTGGGGCCACATCGCTCACCTGAGCATTTTGGCTATTGAATATTTTAAATATAAAAGTGGTTCGAAGGAAGGGGGGGGGTGATTTGAACAAACCTACACTTCCTAAGAGTGATTTTGAATTAATATGACATATAATGGCTTTGCTGTTCTTAAAAAGAATTTTTTATTGATATATCCTTTATATTCCTTTGTATAACTATGATCCCCTGTTATGGCCCCTCTATACTCCTGGGGGGGGGGGGGGGATGATTGAACAAATTTGAATACAAAGTAAGTAAAGATGCTTTCATATTATTATGACCAATCATGGCTTTGCTGTTCTTGAGAAGAAGATTTTTAAAGATTGTTTCCTATGTAAAACTTCGATCGCTCATTATGGTCCAACCCTACCCCCGGGGATCATGATTTAAACAAAGTTGATTCTACACTACTGAAGATGCTACCATATACATATGACTAATCATTACTTTGCTGTTCTTGAGAAGAAGATTTTTTAAAGATTTTTTTCTGTTTTCCAATGCAAAACTTTGATCGCCCATTGCGGTCCCAGCCCTGCGGGGGGGGGGGGGGGGGGTTCATGATCTTAAGAAACTTTATTCCACACTACCTGAAGATGCCTCCATATAAATATGACCAATCATGGCTTAGTTGTTCTTAAGAAGATTTTTTTCAAAGATTTTTCCTCATGTAATCCTGAATAAAAGTTTGATCGCCAACTGAGGCCCTACACTACCTCCGGGGGTCATGATTTGAACAAAATTGATTCCACACTATCTGAGGATGCTTCCATATCAATATGACCAATCATGGATTTGCTTTTCTTGAGAAGTAGATTTTAAAAGACTTTTCATTTGTTTTCCCATGTAAAACTTTGGATTTTCACTACCTGAGGATGCGTTCACATAAGTTTCATATTTTGTTCTTGAGATTTTTAAATGATGCCATTAATATTTTACAAATTAGTAATTATCTCCCGTTGGAAGAAGGTGTGGCCCTTCATTTGAATAACCTTGAATCCCCTTTACCCAAGGATACCTTGTAGTACGTTTGGTTGAAATTCCTTAGTGGTTCTTGAGAAGAATTGAAAATGTGAAAAGTTTACAACGAAAACAGCAACAACAACCACGAGGACGACAGACAGCGGACAAATTTTGATCAGAAAAGCTCACTTTAGCCTTCGGCTCAGGTGAGCTAAAAATGAATTATCTTCACTACCAGAGATGCTTCCACATTAATATGAGGAAAAAGATTTTTAAAGATTTCTCCTTTACATTTCAATATAAAAGTTTGATCCCCTATTGTGGCCCCATCCAACCCTTTGGGGCCATGACCTGAGCAATTTAGAATCTACAATAAATTAAGACGCTTCAATGTAAGTTTCAGATTTACTGGACCAATGGTTCTTAAGAAGAAGATTTGTTAAAGATTTTCACTAAATATTTCAATGTAAAATTTTCATCCCCTATTGTGGGCCCTCCCTTCCCCCGGGGACCATGATTTGAACAATTTTGAATCTACACTGCCAAAGTTTCAGCTTTTATGACCTGGTGGTTCTTGAGAAGATTTTTTAATGACCCAACCCTATTTTTGCCTTTTCTTGATTATCTCCCCTTAGAAGGGGGCCCTTCATTTTCACAATTTAGTCCTTTTACGAAGAGATGCTTTGTACCAACTCTGGAGAAGACGTTGAAAATGTATAAAATTGGGTGATCAGAAAAGCTCACTTTAGCTTTCAGCTCAGGTGAGCTAATAACCGATGCCCTGTGTCTAGGTAGGCATTGGCATGATAAAGATTCCTCACTGCTCTATGGCCCTGAGTGCCGAATAAAGATCTAAATTTGAAGCCCTTCACCAGTATATGGTGACGTCTCTATATGAGAGAAAAATTCTCCCAACAACAATCAATTAATCATTATCGAGTTATCTCTAAAATTGTAGACAGAGTTTAAATTCTTGAGCCAAATTTTTTATCGAAATTTCAAAACCTTACTGCACATGTACAGGACCAGGCCAAGAAAATGTGAAAGATTTTTGACCACCTTAAAAACGATGAAAGAAGCCATGACAAGAAAGGGAGAAAATGGACTGGAATACCAAAAATGTTATAGATATTTCTTTAGAAAGTGCATTCATAATAAAATTTTAAAAAATATTTAATATTTCAAACGATACAATTTTTTCAGGATTTGGCTAAAATTACCTACATTACAATAGTTAGATGCGTTTCATCGATATCATACATAGCAATGTCTTTGAGGCCTCATTCGAAGCAAAGAACACAACATATTCGGTTCTTATGTCACATGTTGTCCCCTCTTTTTAAGGTCTCTAAACCCTTAAGATACACCATACAAATGTCCTGCAGTTTTATTACCTTACTTTTCAAGAATTATAGTAAACAAGATGTGTTTGTGAAACACTGATGCCCCCATATGGCAACTTATAGCGAAGATTAAACTTTCTCAAAGGCAAAACAAATATGTTGGTACCCAAAGTAAGTTCTTGTCCAGAGGAATATACCTGTGAAATATGAAAGCCCTAGCAGCAACCATTAAAAAGATATGGAAAAGGTTAAAAAATTTTCAAGGAGAAGTCAAACATCATGGTCAAGGTAAAAATTAATGGTGCCCAAGGAAAGGCCTTCTCACAAGAAATACACATGTGAAATATGAAAGCCCTAGCACCAATCATTCAAAAGATATGGTCAAGTTTAAAGTTTATCAAAAGTAGGTCAAACTCCAAGGTCAAAAGGTCAAAGTTGTTGGTATCCGAAAGAAGAACTTGTCACAAAGATCACACATGTGAAGTATGAAAGCCCTCCCACCAACCGTTCAAAAGTTAAGGTCAAGGTTAAAGTTTTTCAAAAGTAGGTCAAACTCCTAGGTTAAGGTCAAAGTTGTTGGTATCCAAAGGAAGGTCTTGTCACAAGGATTGCACATGTGAAGTATGAAAGCCCTAGCACCAACTGTTCAAAAGTTATGACCAAGGTTAAATTTGGGTAAAATTTTGTGGGTCAAACTCCAAGGTCAAAGTCAAATATGATGATACCCAAAGAAAGGTCCTGTCACAAGAAATACACATGTGAGATATGAAAGCCATAGCTCCAACCAATCAAAAGTTATGGGCAATGTTAAAGTTTTTGCGGACAAACAGGCAAACAGATAAACAGACAGACGGACGGACAGGGCAAAAACTATGTACCCCCAAATCTTCGATACGGGGGCATAAAAATTAAAAACATATAGGCCTAAATGCTTGAACGTTACAACATAAGTAAAACAAACATTCTGGAACAAATTCTTTTATATTCTATATGATCCAAGAAGTAAATGTATTAAATAAGCATTTTTTAATTGAACTTTGAATAATGTTCTCTTGTGAAGGGACCCTGTGCTTCTTGTTAAGAAGAACAAGATATAACTTTACAGACAATACTCTAAGAGCGCCATGCGAACTTTCATAAGAAATATCATGACAGTCCTTCGCTTGAGTTTGCTGAAGTGAAATTCGATAAAAAAAAATGTTTCAAATATATTTAACTTTTGTACATAAAACGTTTTTTTTTTTTTTCATTTAAATGATCATCATAAGAAAAAAACAACAGACGAAAGGATTAAACAATTTAGTCATGTTCAATTTCATTTTGTGATGTCACGTTGTCTCGTTGTCATCATTCATTAAAGTCTTTTTGAGACTCTCACACTCTTCCTGTTGCTCGCGCAGCTTTTCTCTCAGTCGGCGGATGCGCTCTTTCGTATCTGTCTCTTCTGCTTGCACATGCATAAAAGTGTATTCTATTCGATGTTTCTTTCTTCGAGTTCTACCTTCAGGAGTGACCTCATCATCCTTGCCAGTCGTTTCAGTTTCACTTTCGGTTTCGCTATCACTTCTCTCTTTCTTTATCTCTGTTAGTATGGTGGCTTCAAACTCGTGTTTGTCTCCTGGCTCCGATTTTACTCTGACCCATTCTTGGCCGCTTGTCCCGAGATGTTGTTTATTATCTTGTGAAATGCTTTGTGTCTTGTCACTTTTATTTTCGGATGTCTTTATTTGCTCGAACGCAGTTGTTTTGCTGGTTAGTAATTTGTTAGTAGATGTGTCTTGTGATATGGATTTCACAGTTTTCTGCACAGAAGACGTCACTGTGCATGTGCTGTTTACATTGGCTTTTTGCACTTTAGGTCTGGACCAAACACCGGTTCTAGAGACTGGGGTACTCAGTGGAATAAATCCTTGAGACGATTGAGCTACAAGACTCTGTAAATTGGTTACGACCTGACTTGTGGTACTGCGAGGAATGGCTTGATAATCCAAATTTGATCTATTCGGGAAAAGAAAGAGTGGCTTTGCTGGTGATCTAGAGACTTCCCCAGTAGAAAATCCCGTGTTGTCTATCATCTGAGTGGCAGGTTTCTTGACTCTTACTTCAGCACTTTTCACAAATGTCTTTGGTTTGCTATTAAGAAACTGTACTTTAGAATTCGATAAAAGACTCTGTAACCTTGTGTTTGCTAGCGTAGAGGTTACAAACACTGCAGCTCTTGGGGATGAATTTGATGAATTTGACTGTGGAATGAGAATTAATTTCGGTTGTGGAACTTGAGGAGCAATTGGTTGTGGTACCTGGCGAGAGTTAGGTGGCGGATCTTGAAGAACATGTTTAGGTTTTGGATCCTGAAGAACAAGAATACTTTCAGGTAGCTGATCCTGCAGAACAGGCTTAAGTGGCGGATCTTGGAGAACAGTTTTAGGTGGCAGATCCTGGAGAACATGTTTAGGTGGCGGATCCTCGAGAACATGTTTAAGTGGCAGATCTTGGAGAACAGCCTTGGGAGGTGGGGCCTGGGGAGGGGTTTGTTTTTGTACAAGTAATGGCATGTTAGATAAAGTCACAGTTTCGTTCAATGCTTTACTAGTAACTTTTTCAAGAGGTTCCAATTTTCCAAAGTTTGGCAAGACCATTTTCTTTAACGCCGCAGAATTCTGTTCAAATGATGATCCATCAGTAGGAGTGTCAACTGTTTTGTAATAATGAATACCTGACTTATCTATTAAGATTTTCAGCGAATCAGCGGCACCTTTTGCATTCGGCATTTCTCTCGTCTCTCCTTTCAAAGAAATGCTGTTATTCATTGCTGTATGCCGATTGTCAAAAATTGTTGATACCGTATGTTTGAGCAAGCTCTGCAGTTGTTTTGTGTCTGTCTCTGGTGTTTGTTTAGTTATTTTTGTTTGTTTAGTCATGTCAAGGTTTAGAAGGCTTTTTAATTTTCTTGAAGCGGTGTTTTCAAACGGCAATTCAGTTGTCTTATTGGTGTTATCAATCTGAACCTTTATATTAGATGCAGAGTTTAACTGAAGATCAGCTGGAATTTCGTTGTCCGTACTGTCCTTATCGGCGTTTGACGAGAGACTGAACACGCTAGTAATTTTTGGCAGCGATCCGTCGTCACCATTTTCCGAGGGCTCCTCTGTAACTAAACTAAGATCGGCTCGATTTGATGATTGGGTCGTCGTGTTATGCTCAGTTAACGGAATTGTTCCTTGACCAGTTAGCTGGCTTTTTGTGTGGGTTGCTTTGGAAACATTCGTCGCCTCTGGCGTTTTGTTCATAACGTACGCTTTCGGGATAACAGTGGTACCGTCAGTTGGAATAAAAATCAGCTTATCTCCAACATTCAGCTGGAAAAACTTGACGAACTTCTTTTCCTTGGCCAGTTCTTTAACAGTTTCCATGATCTGGTTCTGATACACGGGTATCCTGTTCTCGGGTTTGCTGTTCTGGGTATCTATCTCAGCTTTCTCCATCATTTTGTCCAGTGACGTTGCCATGACGTCCTTTTTAACCGCCTTACTATCTACCCTCTTTAGCTGCCCTGTCGACTTTAAAGCACAACTCGTGGATTCTTTCATGTCTCCTATTTCTCGTACTTTATGGGTTTTATCTAATTCACTTTCAGACTGTTTGTCTTGTTCTCTCTGTTTCTTCTTCTGTAGTGGTTTGTACCTCACATTTGGAATCTTTGTAAAGTCTGTATAAAATTCCTGCGAATAGGGATCATTAATTTTACAATATCGACCAGAAAAACTCACTCTGAATGTTTCTTTTTCATTTTTGCACGGCTCTAGTACTGGAGGACCGTGATCGTGTGTATTTTTCAAACTACCAATCTCTGAGTCATGTGGTGTCAGAAGTGGCGGGCTGAGACACAGTTCACTCATGACGACACTAGAAGACCGCAAATGTTCAAAAGGCCTTAATTTCTTCCTCTTTGTTTTTGCAGTCTGTGGTCTAGAATATCTTGTTTTGGAGAATATTTCACATCGACTTTGTTTTTTCACAAATAAAGACTCTCTGTCTGTTTCATTTTGAAGTTCCAAGTACTCCATTAATTTATCAATATCAACACCTTCTAGAAGATCTTCTTTAATCACAGACTCCCTTTTCCGGGATTTCAGTGTTGGCACGTATTCATCAGATTTCATATAAAGAACATTCGCCTTTCGCTTCCTTTGCGATCGCCATAACTTTTGATCTGTTGCTGAATCACCCAAACTTTCGCTGGTTGTGTTTTCAAGGCTCGTTTCGTTTTTTAGGGATGTGTTCCTGAACCTAGATAACACTCTCTCGTCACAAATGTTTCTAAGGAGAACATAAGACTCTGGCAGTTTGGATTTCGGGAGGAGTTTAGGCTTAGGCGGCTGCTTGTTTTGCTTGAAAAAGAAAATTGTAAATAATTCAGACATCAATTCAAATGCATATACAAGGTTTAACTAGTTTATAGACTATTGGCTCGATTCTTATTCTTAGCCAATAGGTTCACATCTATTTTGAAGACGAGGGCAAACGCTCAGCTCGGGGAACCAGGTTTTTGCTGACTCTGGAAACTTTTGAAGTTTTTTTATACCGATGCAAAATGAAACAATTACTAGTACTGCTAACCTTGAGGTCAACGCAAGAATATAGCTTTCCAAAGAGTGTAATAATCCCCAAGTCCGAAAAGCGAACTGAAAACTGTTTTTCAAGGTGTGCTTAGTCCTCATACTGGGGGGGGGGGGGGGGGGACTTGCAATGAGCGTTGTATTTCATGATTTGATTATCAAATGATACAAACTCAATAACCTCATCATTGGTTGTCTAATATACTTTTTGAAATCTTAGCCAAACGCAGTAAGAGACGCAGAATTTGTGGACGACAAAAATAACATACCGGTAACAAATTTAATAGCAAATATATCTTTGATCCAATGTAGAACAAATCGGGTGTACGTGAACATTATAAAGTTATAGTTAATCTTGAGGTCAATACAATGATTAAGCTAACCGAGGAATACAATAATCACTGTATCCGAAGAGTAAGATGCATGTTGTGGTTCAAAGGTGGTTAAATCATCGTGTTGACCCCAGACCCACCATCCCCCACACCAACACACCCCTCAAAAAATGTTGATACAATGTACTTATGTTAATATATGATTCAATAATCAAATGAGCAAATATCGCCACATATAGTGAATGTTAATGTCTGGTGGAGTATCGACCGCAATGAAAGACGCATGTTTCTATCGAAAGACTTTACTGGACGCCAAAATTGAAGAGAACATGACCGTGCACTCTTACTAATTCAGACGTTTCAGATTTTTTTTTTCTCTTTGTCAATTAAAAAAAAATAATCAAATGTTATGTTCAGCTGGAAGCGCAGGCACCTAAAGGTTGGATAATATACATCTTTTTATATCGCCACCTTACGTTTTATTTTATTTTACCGCAAATGGCCCGAGGTTTTGACCAAATCCTCAAGAATAATAACTATTTATAAATCGTTAACCTATATATGTCAAAATGTTTGAGATATTTCTAGAATAAGTTATTTTAATTCTTTTTATATACCAACCAATCATATCTTTAAATTAAATCAAACACATTACAAATTAAACCATGACAATTTACTAGTTTTGTTACTGACTGTCTACAAAAATATATTGAGGTGATTTATCTCATGGCAAAGCGAAACAGAGTCGTCTAAAAAAAATGACCAATCTGATATATTCATGTCCACAGTCAATAAGTTGGCAATCCTGCTAGTGATTTATTTTCAGCATCATTTGACATAAAATGGAAGCTTTATACACGATAACTGATGACCAAGGTTTTGAAATGGTTACTGTAGGCGTGGGTCATACTGCTCAATACAAATTTTCACATGCCGGACTGAGAAATTTGTCCGGTAGTCACATGCCATATTTAAACCAATGAACGTGCTTCAATTCAGTGCAAAAAAAATGTTGATTGACAAGGGAAATTTAAAACAATATCCTCTTACGCTTGTAACCACTTGCAGCTCGTATTTAACTCCAGTAGTAACCAGGATTCTAGTAACGAGTTGACCCCTCTGATAAAAACTACTATATTTGGATCCAGTGAAGATTTTCACCTTTATTTCTTCTTTCGTCATTAAGTTAACGCTGGTAAGCTAGAGAGAATCAGTTTTTCAAGCACCTATAGATTTCTTATGCATTCTGCTTTTTCAGTTGATGAAACTACCAGTTATGTACATTCAATTTTATAATATGTATCATACTTAAACCTATTATATAGACGTAAATGTATACAATGAAATGTCTTTTTTTTTTCTAGTACGGAATTACCGGTTGCAGCTACTAGTATAGAAAAAAAAAATAAATGAATAAATTAATATATAAAAATAAATAAAATAAATACGCAATGCATTTTTCTAAAACAGCTGAAACATTAATTCCCGTACTATTAAAAGAAAGCATTTAATTCTTTAAAAGTAAACTCGTAACTTTATAATATTTCAGTTATGTACTTACCCCAACAAAAATATACTACAGTTAACTATAATTTACTATCTCGTAGTTAACTATAGTATCAACGTTTTTACTATAGTAAATAAAAGCTTTTACTACAGAGAATCAAAATATTTTTACTATGGATTTCAGACTGTTATACGGGTATTTTATCTTCTCTACATACAAAAGGAAACATTACTTGTATATTTACACATTATTCCCAAATTTTACATCATTTATATTAAAGAAGAAAGTACGTTATGGACCAAAATCGGCCCTGTCCCCAAATCTGATGAAGATATTTTTGAAACATGCCTAAGATGTCCTCTTTTTAATTCAGCTTAATTTTTGTAATTATCTCACCTCAATTTTCCTACAACGCTATCTGAATATAGATAGTTTCTTTGGAAAATAACACTATGACTTTATGACGTCAACCTAGCGACACTACGCAAATACGAGGGTTGTTGGAAAGTTCGTTATATTACTTTCAAGAAATATTAAAAAAAGAACACATTTTCTTATATAAAATAATTATTTTGTTGGTATGTGAAGTTTCATTCCATCCGATTTAACAGAAATCAATTTACTTAATTTTTAAAATCAACATGTTTGGTATCCCTGGAGCTACGTTATAATGTCATAATGTTATAATGTCGAAAAACATTGCGTCATGGTGTTTTTAAAAAAAAAAAAATCTCCCTTTACATTTCACACAGTTTGGTCCAATAGCCACTTATTAAAAACGTTTCTCCTTCAATTTTATTTTATATTGCTAACAATCGTACCAGTATAATTTAATTTTGTTTGTCCATGTTTTATTTCTTTTTTATTTTACCGCGTAACTATGCATTTACAAGATCAGCAACTGTGAAGCGCCTTTCTTTTTCCATGACTTTAGCAACTCAAAGTTTCTGTTTAGATTTTTACAGATAATCCATTTTCTCACAGACCGCCCTTGTCTGATACAGAATTTTAATTATTCGTACACAGCCTCTATCATTTATACACATATGCACAAATCGCTTTTGACATTTGCGTCCTACAATATTTCAGAGTTTATTCTGAAGATTTCCAGAGTACAACACAAAATTTTGTTATATATACCTTTAAAAATTGGTTTCTATATAAATCTATACACATTCCTAATGTTGTACTGAGCGGTCATAAAAAAATCGAAGTTTGGCCGCGGAGTAAGATATTTGACCTGTCGATGAGAAATTGGACCGCTTACGTTAAAATTGTGGGCGGGATCAGCTAAATTTCATTTGCAATCGTTGGTGTTCGACAGTGACGAAATTGACCAATTTTAACCGCAGTGTGATTTAAGTAAATTTACATCATGGAAGCCTGCACAAGATACAAAGGTATAACAAAACATTTATTGACTAGGTTCTCGGGCAAAATGTGTTTTGTTGACCCATCGAACGGTTAAATAAGGCCCCAGAGTGAGACAAACAGTTTGGTTTTTGGGTCCGACAATATACGTACAAAAAAAAGATTAATTAATATTTTAAAACGAGAGAGAGAGAGAGAGAGAGAGAGAGAGAGAGAGAGAGAGAGAGAGAGAGGGAAATGCGTAACGTATATTTAATAGTACGTTTATTATAAGTATCCGATTATTCTAATTCAAGCAAGAGTTTGATTTTTAAAAGCTAGATTATTTTTTATGCGAATTACTTGGTTTGTTTTTAAGATTGCATTAAAACTTTTAACACTATTTTATAAATGTCAGATTCCCTATAAAAGGTTTTGAGAAAGCATCAAAGATATTTTCGAAAAGTATTTGAAATTTTAATTAATAGATAACATTCTCGCGACGTCATTCACGAATATATTTAAACAAAATGTGTTTTAAACGTTTCTGTCTTGTCATCTGAAAAAGTTTCCAAAAAAAAACAAAAAAAAAAAAAAAAAAAAAAACAAAAACAAAACAAAAACAAAAAAAAACCCCAAAAAAACCCCCTGAAAAGTACTGTCATTCGATTTATAATTTTATATGTCACCAGATGGTCCTTCTTAAATGCACGAATCAAGTACCCCCCCCCCCCCCAACAAGCTGTAGCACTTCTCTTGGATAGTTGGCATGGGCAACCTTCTATCGAATTTTCTTTAGCAACTTACTGAGGCTTTTTTCACCAAGTTAGTATAGCTTCTCAAAAAAAAAAAAAAATAATAATAATGAATAAAAAAAATGAATAAATAAATAAATAAATGAAATAAAAATAACCATGTATAAACATTTACTTTTTTTTGATGAACGCTTTTACGATCTTTTTTTTTTAATACGTAAATATAATTATAAATAACTACTGTTGCTTGAAGTTTCGACTTTGTTGCTTGAAGTTTCGCTCAATATGACAGCCTATCTTTAAGTAAGTATTGTGAGCCTTTGATACCCAACCTATGGAGAGAATGATTATAGGCACTTACGCCTGCTTTTCAATCCATTTCAGGTAGATCTCTCGCGCCGTGATCGGAAGGTCGTGTGTTCAAATCACGGCCGCGACCGACCTAAGTCGATAAAAATAGGTAGCAACTGTTCCTTCGTCAAGCGCTCGGCACTTTGAAGTGAAAGTTGCGGGTCTTTCGGGTGAGACCTAAAAACCGAGGCCCCATGTAGGTTCAAACTTTTTTTTTCATTTTTTTTCACAACCAATTTTCCCCCAGTACACTAAATTCCTAAACTTTACCTATGCTACAGCAAATAGAGGGGGGCGGGGGTTAGTCTTTCAATGAACATATTTTCAAAGTTCGGAAAAAAAGTGGGAAGGGGCCCTGCGTCCCTGATTCTTCGTGCCTGATAAATAACTTGTTTTCAGATTTGTCCACACTGACAGATAATTTTGTTCCACAGTACTTAGATTAGATTGTGTGATACACTTACACTGCCGTAATGGGTGAAAGAATTTTCTAGACAGGTAACATTGTGAAAAGTGAACCCATCATCCGATACAGCTTTTTATTAATTTTTTTTGTCCGAAATTCCTTTTTGGACCTTTCTGTCGCTTTCTCATTCCAGTCTTCTTTTAACTTCACTGGATCTTCGACAGATAAGAAATTACATCTCTGGTATATGTGGAATGATCTTAAGTAGAATATACGGGTAAAAAATAAAGAGCCATAACTGCCTCTCCGACGACACAGCTGACTCAAGAATTTAAAAGGAAATCACCTGATTCTATTTATAGATATACCTATTCAATTCAAGATCAAACTATGTATATGATTTGAGGACGAGCGTTATATTTTCGTAGTTGCAAGTATGTCAAATGACAATCATTTAATTTGTTCAATACTCAAATTCTGTCATATCCAAATAAAATCATTCAAAAGTTGTTTTTTTTTCTGGTTATGGGAAGTCTTTGGCAACTGAGTTTGTCATCTTTAGGTGGATACCTCAATATTTACTATATACTCCATACAAACTGGATAATTTTCATATTTATCATATGAGGAAACTATTAATATTGAAATATCATTATTGTGTGGTATGGATTTACGCATGTATAAACTAAGATTGTATGACAAAATTTTGGTTAAACAATGAATTTAAGAAATCACTAGTAGAGTAGGCGAAAATGCCTATCAAATGCTCTGTGGCTCCTTTACTAGGTGAAATATGAGCCTTTGTTTTTATATGGTTTTGCATAATATTAACGGCAATGTCTACAATATGCAGATGCAACACGCTTATATTGTGCGTGTATTATAAAATCTAACAATATATTAAACATCAACCGTGCACTTGTATAAATGACTGAAAATACAAGACTTCAGAATATTAATTAATCTGATCAGTCCTGACCAACAGCATCCAAAAGATTGGGAATTTACCCCCCCCCCCCCCCTCCAAAAAAATGTTGCAAGGGGACCTATTGTGACGTCATCTTTGAGTTTATTGCGTAATTTATTTACATACATGCAGACTTCAACTATACCGTTTCAGTAGCAAGATAAAATAAAGGCTAGGATTTAAGCATTTTCTTTTCTGCAATAATACTTTTAGTGATTTCATTTGTCTGCTGAACATTTTTATTTTATTGCTTTAGTATATTAAATTGATCTCTTCCCTTCTTGCTGGCAACATTTATCAAGTGTAAGGCTTAGTTGTATAAAAAAAAAATATCGTAAATTGTCATTTCTATAAAACATTTTTTTTTTAGTTTTTATGCTATTTTCATAACAAATATATTTGTATGAGCAATATAACTATGGCCAATCAATGATAAATTTATTTCTTTAACATTATTACACGAAATACACCATTATTATTGCTCCTAGATAAGAACTCGCCTCTCGACTAACTTAGTCATAGTCATAGAAATAGTCATGAAATGTCAAAATTAACATACTGCACATTCCTCGAGCAAATTCTTACCATTATTTTTGCTTGTCTTTTATCAAATTATTTTCAAATATATATGTTTTTTTTTGCTCGAGGGATGTGCACTACTTCAATTTTGGGAATTTGTTGTAAAAATAGTGGAAAAAATAGCAATTTCCGGAAAGAACGGATGTTTAAATCCTGTGAATACCTCTAATCAACGTACTTGCGAAATTTTGTTATGCATATATCAAAACTTTCAATCTTCTTCTACGTGTACATAGTAGTTATATTTTTGCAAACGTGTATATCAAAATACGAAAAATCGTGGGCCTTCGAATAATACGTAACGTACTTAGTTCTTTATGAGATTTTAAGCTTTGAAATCTCAAACAAAAAGTCCTGGAGTAAAGTTTCATTGTAAATCAAATTGTCTAAGTATTTACTATAGTTAACTATAGTAAACTATATATAGTTAACTATTGTAAACTATTGCTAACTATAGTAAATTTTTGTTAGGGAAGAAATACTGATTTGTCACTAGTGGCGATAAATCATATCATTGAAAAGAATTAGTGCACTAGCAGAAATATATTTCAACATGGGAGATTGGTAAATAAAACACATTTTGAAATGTTGTTCAATGTCTTAATTATCAGATCAGATTGCAAAATGGATATTTTATGAAAAAGCTGCAAGGTGCTTTTATTGAATATACCTTTAATCGTGCTATTCTGAGAAGATTTGCTTTCGAGGTAGACATTTATCAATTTGTTGAAGTGACTAAATCACTCATGTAACTGATTTACTTTCATTTCATGAAAATGCTAGAAAGGAATAGTATACACACCGGAAAAAAGCTGGCTGCCGGAACTGGATTCGGATTCAAGCATCTGAAGAAACAAAGGACGGTATTAAACTGGAGACAGACTGACATTTACCACAATATATACATATAAAGATGTCACACGTTGTACCACGGCGTAACTTTACTATGCTACTTTATTTTTCAAATTTATGTTTGTTAGTACATTTATTTGTATAGCTGGTTTCTATATTTGTTTAGATACTGAAGTTCTTTATTAACTGTATATATGTTCCTGAACATATCACCCCCCCCCCCTTCTACTTACCTTTTATTCATGCAGCATTGTTTAAGTATATTAGGCCCACCAAACTTAGCCTTGTCTCGGCAATGTGTACATACGCCACAATTTTCTTTCAAACAATTCTAAAACAAAAAATGTCTCTTAAAATATCTATTTTAACTTTCTGCGTGAAATAAGGAAGCATTTTCTTTATATATCTTTCTTCAGATCAGTATAAAATTTATTTTCATTCAAAGAGGAAGGTTTTTGAAAATTATAGATTTCAGGTAAACAACTGGCATAAATAATTATATTCAAGTGAACATGACGAAGAAGTTTGACAACAGGTAGAACTGTATGTATTTTGTAACCATACAAAGGATACCTCGTTTTTTTTCACACACATATTTAGAGAACATAAACCTCGAACTTTTACGCATAGACGGGTTAAGATTATAAAGTAAAAAATATTACAAAAAAAGAATAAAAAGTAGTGACTTTAAATCAATTATGAGAGCTATCTCAACAAAGAATGATAACTCTTGCATTTACTATGGGATGTGAAGGTAAAATCCATTTTTTATCAACAACAGATATTTAATGATTTAAATAACCAAAGTATGATGCTGGACACTATATGAACGAATTAATAATAATAATAACCAGTTATATAAGTTTATCGTAAATGAAAACACAAGAGCGTTCTACTCTTCTTCATATGTTCATTTTAATACAATACTATTTACGTATTGAGATGTTCAGTATAATACAATACTATTTACGTATTGAGATGTTCAGTATAATACAATACTATTTAAGTAATGAGATGTTCCTTATTATACAATACTATTTACGTAATGAGATGTTACTTTTAATACAATACTATTTACGTATTGAGATGTTCAGTATAATACAATACTATTTACGTATTGAGATGTTCAGTATAATACAATACTATTTAAGTAATGAGATGTTCCTTATTATACAATACTATTTACGTAATGAGATGTTACTTTTAATACAATACTATTTACGTATTGAGATGTTCAGTATAATACAATACTATTTACGTAATGAGATGTTCAGTATAATACATGCAATACTATTAACGTAATGAGATATTCCATTTTATACAATACTATTTACGTAATGAGATGTTTCAGTATAATATAATACTATTTATGTAATGAGATTTTCTTTATCATACAATACTAAAATTTACGTAATGAGATGTTCCTTATAATGCAATACTATTTACGTAATGAGATGTTCCTTATGATACAATACTATTTACGTAATGAGATGTTCCTCATGATACAATACTATTTACGTAATGAGATGTTCCTTATGATACAATACTATTTACGTATTGAGATGTTCCTTATGATACAATACAATTTACGTAATGAGATGTTCCTTATGATACAATACTATTTACGTAATGAGATGTTCAGTATAATACAATACTATTTACGTAATGAGATGTTACTTTTAATACAATACTATTTACGTAATGAGATGTTCCTTATGATACAATACTATTTACGTAATGAGATGTTCAGTATAATACAATACTATTTACGTAATGAGACGTTACTTTTAATACAATACTATTTACGTATTGAGATGTTACTTTTAATACAATACTATTTACGTAATGAGATGTTACTTTTAATACAATACTATTTACGTAATGAGATGTTCAGTATAATACAATACTATTTACGTAATGAGATGTTACTTTTAATACAATACTATTTACGTAATGAGATGTTCCTTATGATACAATACTATTTACGTAATGAGATGTTCAGTATAATACAATACTATTTACGTAATGAGACGTTACTTTTAATACAATACTATTTACGTATTGAGATGTTCAGTATAATACAATACTGTTTAAGTAATGAGATGTTCCTTATGATACAATACTATTTACGTAATGAGATGTTCCTTATGATACAATACTATTTACGTAATGAGATGTTCCTTATGATACAATACTATTTACGTAATGAGATGTTCAGTATAATACAATACTATTTACGTAATGAGATGTTCCTTATGATACAATACTATTTACGTAATGAGATGTTCCTTATGATACAATACTATTTACGTAATGAGATGTTCCTTATAATACAATACTATATTTACGTAATGAGATGTTCCTTATAATGCAATACTATTTATGTAATGAGATGTTATTAATAATATTATACTATTTACATAATGAGATGCAATACATTTGCAAAGACGATATAATTATACAAGTATATATACATGTATGCTTTTTAAATCAATTAATATTTATACATGTATTTCTTGTCTACCGGTATGTCGTATTATATAAATACTGCATGTAGTTGAGTGTAACATTGAACATTGACCGTTGCTATGCAACAGGGCGTGGCTTCATTTTTCAGCGGGTAACAGTGTTTTTAACAAATGTTTCTCGACGAATCAGATTCACCTAATTTACATGAAAGTATAATATAAGAGAATATATGCTTCTTTTCAGATGCATGAAATGCATTTCTTGTCGTCTATTTTGTTGATCATGTTCAACAAGAACAACAGAATAAGATTGGGGATTTAATGATTGATTCCAAATATATTTTTTATATATGTGTATGTGACTAAATTAGCATGGAAAGAGCAACTCTCTCTCTTCTCTCCCCCCCCCCCCCCCCCTCTCAATTTATAGAATTTTTTGTAAATTGTCTAAATGACGTAATAAACCTGAGGGATAGATGGGCCTCGCCATATATTAATGAAACATCCATATTCGGCGTTTGAACATGAGCAGACCCAATCTTCATGATCTTGCAACTCCCTTAACTTTTATTACAGTTTTCTTTTTATTTCAAACACAATTTCTTGAAAAACAGTAAAAGCTTAAAAGTATTTTCAGTGATTAAGTATATAGGTATGTAACACCCAATTTTTATTTAATGGGTGTAATTTCATATGTAAGAACTGGAGGTCATAAATCTTTGGTTTACAATGTTTACTATAGAAAAATCTTTGATATTTTAAATAAAGACAGAGAGAGCTAAAAAAAAAAAAAAAAATCCGTTCAAGTGAATGTCTTCTATCTACGTTATGAAGGTACCCTTTCCGTACCTCATTTTGATTCAGAACCCCGTCTGTGCCTTACCTTACAGGCGTTACATCGGCTCCTTCTGAATCGAGAACGATGCATTTTTTTATTCTGTCATGTCAAAAAATAATTCACACTCGACAGGCTTCACAGCTAATTCCTGGAAAGAGAGAAAAAAATGTCTCTGAGATAGATACATATAGTAAGTAAGTAGGTAAGTAAACTATTAATGCGTGTTGTTCAGGATTACAATATATTCTTCTATAATAAATACAGGTAGAGCTGCGCATTAATACCAATATTTCAGTGTACTTCGGGTTCGTTGACCAAAAAAAAAAAAAAAAAAAAAGACGTATTGCGATAGGTTTTTATCAGTGGCAATATACCGATAAATTGCTTATAGACTCGGGATTTCTGTAATAACATAAAAAATTCGAAGATTTCAGAGACTTTTGCGATCGTGCCAAACAGTGAGGCGAAAGTTATTGTGTCAGTACATTTGCATAACTGTAATTAAATCTACAAGAACTTTTGCTTCATTTATCATACTTTTGTATATATTCTGCATTTTTAATAAGTTTTATTAAAAATATTGCAATACAGATCGCAAAACAGTTAAAATATCGCAGTTTAATGCAATACGCAATGCAGACCTTACTCGTGAAATTAAGTTTAATTAAGATTCATAAAGTTAATATCTTACACCCGGCCCAAAGAACCTAAAAGTCACAGTTCTAAATATGCCTATAAATGAAGATAAGTTTATGATATTAGAATTTTTTTTTTTTGTAAAGTTCTGACAGGTTTAAAAATATCACATAAAAGTAGCCGATTGCTTAGGAAATTCATGTAAAATATGCCGGAAAAATGAAACATCTAATGACAATTATTACTTTTCAGGTAGTTGTGTTGATCTGTTGATGTCGGTATTTTACGGAAGCGTAAAGGTCTCTACACTTGTTGTGTTATAACTTGTATATTCTTATATTTCATTGTCTTATCAACATATAAAGTGTTATAACTCCTTATTAATATACATATTTTGATTTGTATTCAGACGTTTTTTGCATAATTTAAGGCACCTTCTTTTATTTAATTGGTTAATTGCTATAAGTATTATCGACTTAAAAATATATCAATTTTAAGATATTGATCAAAGCAAGATTTTTAATCATTTCAATATAGAAATGTCGATGTGTAATGATAAATATATAGTTATATCGATATAAATATATATGAATGTTTCCGAGAGAGAAGTGAGAAAGTATTGTTATTAAATTCACTTCACGGGGGCGGGATTTCAAATGAATCTTCACTTCATTTGGGATTCAGTGAAAGCTCCTGTACCATGTATTTGCTATCGTATACGATTATAGACTAATACAGATTCAAAAAAAATTTAAAAGGCGGGATGCAGACATCAGCAGTTAGACCATAGGCATAGCCATAGGGGGCTTCTGTCCCCATCGCCATTTTTGAAGAGGGGGAGAGGCAGTGGTATCTGTGCCCCTCCTCCAGCTTTTTTTTTTTTTTACATGAGTATATTATAGATCCGCCAATATATCCCGAAAGTAAAGATGAATACTCACAGTTGGTTAATTAAATCTGTGGGTTTTTTTTTTCTTGTCAAATATTTTATTTGGCTGACCCCCACACTTTCCCCCTTTTAATTGTTACTAAGCTGATGCAGATTGGCTGCAATGAAGCACATATTATTATTATATTATTCTAAGTAATAAGATGTTAGATCTGATGTGCTAATACTTAAATTTTAATATATATATATATATATATATATATATATATATATATATATATATATATATATATATATATATATATATATATATATATATATATATATATATATATATATATATATTCTATCATGAATTACATCTTATATTTTTTGAGATCGGAGTGGGGGGAGGGGGGGGGGGCTACGGAAGTTCACGTCTATGCAGCAGATCCCATGTTTACCACAGAGTGATAAAACATCAAATATTTACAGAGTATATAGCAAGTGTCATTTTTATAATATTCTTTTCTTACATAAAAATATTTTAATTATTACTGAACTTGTATATATATTTCATTTCTTTTTAATTAGAATAATGTAAATTGATATTTGCTTCAATGGGGACAAACTAATCATGCCCCTCTCAACTCCTTCTTCTTTAATTCGTTTTTCTCTATAATCATACAACAAATATTTGACACTTTACACATGGCACATTGTGCATGTGCCGTCAATCTGAGAGATGTGACGTTTCATTAGAATTACCGCGAAGTTAGTTGGAGAACAATATTTTCAAACTTTCACCTTAAAAATACTAGTATATTTATATCAATTTAACTATTATGCATATATTTTTATTGTTGTATGTAGAGCTAAATTTCACACTGAGATCTGTAATTCTCGTGCTTAAATCAATATTTTTCAAATCAATCCTTTTTTTTTTTTTTTTTTTGAAGTCGATATAACTTTTAGCAGTAAAATCCATTATACACGCGCAGAAAATACGCTAGCTTTAAATTATGTAAAAATACTCAGAAACAATACAAAATGTACATGAAAGGAAGAAGTCTTTACAGATTATGTGTTGATATGACAACAAAAAGTAAAACAATGTACAAAATGTATAGAGACCTTTACGCGTCCGTACTATTTAGATATGCACTATGCAGCTAGGACAATCACACTAGCATTCCGAAAACTGAAAATCTGCTTCTAATATACCCTAAAAGTAACCTATTCAACATTCAATATATATCCAATAGCTGCGTTGTACATATATTTTATAACTTAATACTTTTTCCAAACTTTCGACATTATATTGCGATATTAATGTTTTTCCAGCATTGTACAATTTTTGTTTTGGATTGAACTGCTGTACTAAGGACGTATATACTATAATCTTAATACATAAATACAAGTATATCCCTGGTTGTATAGAAATATAGAAAACAGTGCGTGGATCTCGACCATGTATAATACGATTATAATGCAGCACTAACTTGCTCCTATACTCAACATTGTCAATCCTAACATCTACTTAGGAAAAGAGTTATTTAGGCATGATGCCTGATGTATTAACCACTACATGAAGATCTAATCTATATGTAGTAAATTATTTAATAAATCAAAATTAACTTGTCTCTTCAATTTCTTATTATTTGTAGGCATGTGTACTCTACGTCCCCACCTATATAATATTTATTCTCTTCACACAATGATTTATAGAAATCTGCTTTATTATTAACATATTGTAAAACATACACAAAGTATAGACTTAGTAAAATGTGATCAATAAGACATTCCTTCAAAGTTAAAGACAAAGATTACATAGTCTTTCTAAATACTGGTGTATTCCGGGAAAATGTTTTCCGTTTCCGGGACCGATTCTCGGCATTAGCCTATATTCTGCCTTGTCCGCATTAATCTCGTGGATTGCAATCGATGTATACAGGCCTACACATGCATTTTAAAAATCAAAACATAAACAATAAAATCTTTTGAATCTTGAAATATGGATAACTGTTCAATTCAGGTTGTTCGTCTTTGTCAGCGCTGCTCCAAGTTCAACACTGCGTACACGATAAACAACAATGGCGATAGCCTCAGTTTGACACCGTCTAAAATTAGATTACCCATGACCTCTTGTTTACATTTTATTATTGACTCGTTTGCTACTCTAGTGGTAACATTTTGATTATTTTCTTTCTCAAAAAAGAAAAGCTTAATCTGAAAAGTAGTATAGAATCACACGTATTCACTATTTTTAAGGTGTTCTGTGCATATGTAAATTATGTGGTGACATGCTCATGGAACAAGCGGAGATAATATCCATGCGCAATAGCTATACAGTTGCCATTTCAGGTAATCCCTTTTTAACAAACTAATTATCAAAATACCAACTTCCTCACTTTCCTTGACTCAAACTACTCGATTTGTCTTTCTACGACTGTAAACTAAGCAAACTTACCCCCTTTTGATTAAACCAACCACGATATCGTTTTGTAAATGTTAATATGGCTGACTGGTCTATATCCGGTTCCGGTACAAAGCAAACGTAAATAAATGTCGCTCTGCTCTAACCATTTCAGTCAGATTTTTACGATTGTTAGTGATAAAAGGCATGGTCTCCCCTTGTAAAGGATATTTAAAGGAGCAAAAGACCGAGGCTTGAAATTCCGGTTAAAGTGACAGGAGATAGCAAAAGTTTGAGGTTTTTCTATTATCATTTATCGAAGTCAAATAAATATTTCTCACTTTTGAAGAATTAGCATGACCCAAGCTAACAAGGACAATGTTCAGCTTTTTCATATCAGAGTTCATTTCCAGATGCAAGTTTATTTCGCCTAGATATTCTCAGTTGTGGGATTCCTATTTTATAGATACAGTTTTGTTTCCTTGGGTTGGAACTAACCGGCGAAGTATACATATATACGTCCATGCTATAGGTAAGCGTTATAGATACCCATATAAAGCAATGAAACCATTTTTTTTTTTTTGAAAACATATTGTATAAAGGTGTAATCATTGAGTTTCATTTTCGGCATTGGACACCACCTAGCTGGTACTCCCAGAAAAAAAATGTTAAAAAAGTATTGGTGATAAGAAATCACGGTTGCCTGATTAAATGGGGGAAATACTTGTAAAGAACATGATTAATTTCTTTTGCCTTTAAAAATGTGAAGAAATTACAAATTCAGTAATCATGGTAATAAAGATTTTAGTTAATTTTACTTTAGTTCTAGGGGCAGATCACTCTGACTGTATAAAACTACCACGGAAGTAGAACTCTTCAACGTATATTGTGAAGAGGAGCCCTTAAACCAGATTTGCATTTTAAATGGGCTTAGAGCAGTCCTGCCCTGTGGCTTAACTTTTTTAAAAAAAAAAACAACCTACCTCCTCAGTGACTCGTTGTAAATCTTCTACTATACTTTAACTTTAATGCAGAAGAGTTTTCTAACAAGCCCTGGCTTAAGTACCAGAAAAATGACAGATTTTCGTAGCCTGGCTTATTTCTATTGGGAATTTTACAGTATTCTTTCATTTTAAGCAACATTTCTTACATAAATTCTAAAAAAAAAAATCTAGGTACCTGAAGATAAAAAAAAATCATGC